ATCGCAAGAATGTATCGCCGCACTTACGTGCTGGCATTGCACAGTCCGAAATTCCATCCGGTAATTTGGTTTGGTCACCGCCGTAAGCGACGACATGTGCAGATCACCCCTGGCAATACAACGCTGGACCCTGGTCGCAGCAAGCTTGAATCATAAAAATAATTCGCGAAACATTCAACCTTCCCTCAGCCGTGACGAATGAAAAGCCTGACTAACACTAACTCACCCCCCTGGAACGATAAATATCGATTCCAATGGCGCCACACGAGTGGGGTTTCTCGAACAAAAACAACCCAACTTCAAACACAACACCCCACTTCGGCGATGAATAAAGCTTTTGACGTATTGCAAAATCATCTTATGAGCAAATCACTCTGGCTTGCCATATGGCGCTTTTTGGGTGAATTTCGCGGCCCCTTGGGGCCATCATGGGGCCTCCAAGGCCGCACTTTGACGATTTTGGTGTCCTTTTCTGGCCGTCTTGGGCCCCCCCGGCCCCCGCTTCCACCATTCATGGGGCCTGCCGAAACTGTGGGTTTTTCGAATGTCCCCTGAATGGTGGAACCCCCAAAAAGCAAATTTTCTGGACGTCCCTCCGGGCGGGCCGGGGGTGGCTTTTTCGTGTGCAGGCCAATAAAAAACAAGCCGCAGCGACGCACCAAAAAGTGTTCAAAACAGGGGGCGAAAGCGGCTGGTCCCCCGAAATCTTAGAAAATTGTGATTTCCGTTACTTTTTCTGGAATAATTTTTGGGGCCTCCTGGGGGCCTCTTGGGCTCTCTTGGGGGCCTCTTGGGGGCCTCTTGGGCCGCTCTTGGAAGCCTCTTGGGGGCCTCTTGGGGGCCCTTGAGGGCCTCTTGGGGGCCTCTTGGGAGCCTTGGGGGTCTCTTCGGGGCCAAAGCTCCCAGAGGGGTCAAAGAAAAAACAAAACATCTGGGGGCTCTCTTGGGGGCCTCTTGGGGGCGTCTTGGGGCGCTCTTGGGGACCTCTTGGGGGCCTTTGGGGGCCTCTGGGGGCCGCTTGGAACCGTACGAGCAGCAGCAACATGGAGCAGCAGCAGCATGCAGCAGCAGCAGCAGCAGCAGCAGCAGCAGCAGCAGCAGCAGCAACAGAAGCCGACAACTAACACCTCGCGCGCAGGCAGACCCCCCACTTGGGAGAAATGACGGGTGTCCGATCGAAATTGACCCCCCTGGAACGATGAATAACGGCGGAAGCGCTCCACCATTAACACCCCCCCCGTTGACGACTGGACTGGCTCGAATGCACTTATCGGGTCAACCCTTCATAACCAGGGGTGATATGTGCAGGGCATCTCGGATGACGACGAGCGCATCAACTTGCGTAAGCAATATGATGTTCCAAATAAGCTTGCGCCCCATTCTTATTATACTATATATTTGTATGTATGTATATATGTATATATGTATATTATATTATATATAATCATATAATATATATAAATATAATATATTTTATTATTATTATTATTATTATTATTTATTATTATTATTATTATTATATTTATATATTATATATATATATATATATATTAATATTAATTACTTATTTCACGCCCTCGGCACAGCCTCACCTCTCACCACAAGTGAAACAACGAGAGAACGGGGACCGAGTTCCGATGCGCTCAAGATGGAGCCCGGGGGGGAAAGAGAGAAAGGAGGGAGGGAAGGAGGGAGGGGGGGAAAGAGAGCGGGAGGGGAAGGAAGAAGCAGAGCAGGCACGCAAAGAAGAATGGGCGAGGAGAAGAAAGAGCGGGAAAGCGCCGGACGCGCCAGGCGAGAAAAAAACGCCAACGGACCGAACACCGCCCAAGGGCCGCATAGGGGGGAGGAGACAAAGAGAGGAGGGAGGCGGCGAACGACAGCAACGACAGCAGCACGCAAAAAGAGAGGGAAGAAGGAGGGAGGGAGGGAAGGGAGAAGGGGGGAGAGGGAAGAAAGAGGGGAAGAAGGGAGGGCAGAAGAGAAGTAACGGCCAAATTTTATAGATGCAAAATTCCGTTTTGTCACGCAAAGCACGGCTGGGCTCCGAGCGTCGGCTGGCTTTGAAAAAACATAGGAAACTACGCAACGAATGCGACTTAACGCGGCGGGCGCCAGTCCCTGCATCCCCTGAGAGGATGAGAGGCCAAAGGGATTCTCCACGACAGCGTGGACGTCCAGTCCACACAGCCTCTGGCAGCCCTGTCTTTCACCAAGTCAGACAACAACCCTTGGAACCGCTTCACACTAGTGGCGGCAATCACAGAGTCAGGCAGTATATTGTGCACATTAATACTGCCAATGCAAGAACGCACTAGGAAGTCAGGAGCTCCCAACGGACATATATCGATCAAATGCCGTGCGTGCCGTCTGGGAGCCCTGGGAGGAGGCCTGGAAGGGTCGACCCGGAAAAACTGTTCAAATTGCCGTGGCCCTTGTCTAAGAGCAGTCCGGTGAATCACCCCCAACATCGCAATTTCACGTCGCACCTGTAAAAGGGCTAGCGAAAAATACAATAAGGCATCAAGACTGGACAAAGAGAGGATGGCAAGGAAGCGAGTCAAAACGGCATCAAGAGGGGCAAGGATAGAATCTGCTGCATGAGCTAAGCCTGGTGTGCGATATTCGATGTACCTCACAATATCACTCTTCAAAAAGGTGCACGAGTTCACTAAGCCGCCGGGTGCGAAAAAAAGTGACAACTTTCCATCCACATTCGCACGCGCACTCGTGCACCGCATCTCTCATGAGCAGTTTCGTGTCGAACAAATTCCCTTGGCTTTTCAACGACTCTCCATAGGGTCTGGTCTTTGACAAGACGTGAGAACTCTCTTTGGACGCACCAAAAGACACGCCATTCGCATGACCCCATGAGTGCAAGCTATCTCGGCACAGCCTTAAGGCGTGCAGGATCTTGTCCATCGTGGCAGAGGGCTCAAAATCTTTAAAAGCGTTCAAATCGTCTGCGAAAACAATATCAATAAAATCATGCTCAACAGTGGCCCGGTGCGAATCGCCAAAGTGCAGATTCCAAAGAGGAGGCCCAAAGACAGTGCCCTGGTAAGCCATGTCTTTCACCACCACCGGATCCGAAAACTCGCCCTGCACTGCGACACCACCCGTGCGTTCCCTGAGCCAGCTTTTCAAAACATTGCGTATGCTCGGGTGCACCTTGGCCGCCTGCAGTTTGGACAGAAGACGCTCCGCGGATACTTTGTCGAAGGCACCCGACACATCTGAACTATACAGTGCTATCAAGCGGCCTCGGCTCATGCCAAGCAGCCACGATAACACAAATAATAAAACAGCGTCACGTGCCCCGCGACCAGCCGAATCGGCAAATTGATTCGGTCCAAAGACATCTAAGTCGAGCAGCCGTGGCACGAAAAAAACACTTTAAACAAGTTCTACAACTTTAGATATTTGAGATGTGAGCTACAATCCCCTATAGTTTTCAGGATCGCTCACACTGCGGCGCTTGAATAGAGGATGAATCCAGTGCATGCGCCACGATTCAGGCCATCGGCCCTCTGATAAAATTATCCGGCAAACGATAGCCACACGGAGTGCAAACTCGCCGGTGCACTTCTATAAAACACGCGCTGGAACAAGATCCGGCCCGGAAGAGCTCTCAGGATCTAGCCTGCGCAATTTTTTTTCACCAGACGCGTGCGCACAGGCAAAAAAACAATATCTTCCGAATCAGATGCCGGAGGTAGCTCTGAAAACCGATTTAGCACGAGAGCTGGCACTGACCACTTGCTAGAGAAAGTAGCTGCAAATAAATTCGCTTTACTCTTAGGCTCCAAGGCCCAAGATCCATCATAACGTCTCAAAGATGGGCACGGACTCTTGGACGCCTTTCCCAACAAGGATTGCGACAAATGCCACCACAATTTTGATCCTCAAGGATTGCGTCAAGGACCGCAGGCGCGCACGAATCCGAACTGTATATCGATTAAAAGCATCAATTAGGCCGTCACTACAACGACGAATAGCAAAAAGAAAAGCGTCGCTACCTGGTGCCTTGCTTTTTTCTTCAACTAAACGGAAACACTGCGAGTCGAGCCAAGGATGCGAGCTACAGGAAACATGCGAGTCCGTATAAAGGAATGAAACGAGACATTAAATTCAACAGTCAGCTGCTTGAAAATTCGACCGCACTATCGGCACTGAGCGAAGACAAGTGTTGCCAACTACATGATGCCAGCTGGTGCCGGAAGCCATGCCAATTCGCACTGTTGTAATGCCACAAGCGTCGGGATGAGAAGGCAAACGAGAGAGGAGGGAGAGGGAACGACAACAGAAGCGGGCGATGATCAGCGATCTCACTTAAAACTTCAACTGCTACGTCCGGCAAATCTGTGATCGCAAGATCAAGTAAATTAGCCAACCGCGTTGGCGACCGAACAATCTGCTGGAAGCCGTGGTCTTCGCACCATTTTTTCATGGCTCGTCCTTCGGGTGTCGCAGATTGGGAATGACGAAGCAATTCTTTGTGATGCGCGTTGCAACCACCAACTATTACTCTGTTCACGTGAGAAACCTGCAAATAATGCCATTCTGCAACAAAAGACTCAATCGAGCGAACCTCTCCGTACCGAGGGGGCCGGTACCAACAGCAGAATAACTGTCGATGAGAAGATATGTTTTTCCTCACGCGCAGGCGGGCAAGCAGCGCCTGGTATGTTGCCCTAAACAGCCCCTCCGACCTCTCGTCGGGGCCGCCAAGGCCGAAACGGCCGCGGGAGAGCATAGCAGGAGTCAACATCAACACTGCTACCTCTCCAGCTCCCTCCTGGGTCCTGCGGGTACTCCGCCCGGTCGACACCGTCGACCGGGCTCACTGTGGGCCAAAATGGCCGCGACGCACAACACTTACGGCTGTGTCTCTGCGAGCGCCGCTCGCGCAGCGGCACCGCCGCTACTCGGAGGCCGGGCTCCTGGGGACCAAAACGGCCCGGACTCGCATGGCACCGCCATGGTTTGGTGAGCCGCCCTCACTTCGGAGCCGTCGTGTCTGGCGCTTCGGCCGGCTTCCCCCAGGGCGCCGGTCCCTCCTTCGGCGTCCCGTCCTGGTAGTACACCGGGCACTGGTTGCCCCAGTGCCCCTCCTTGAAGCAGAGCCGGCACATGTTCGGGTTGAGAACTTCGCTGGGAATCGACCCCGGCAGAGGCCCCTTCTTAGACTTGCCACCCTTGGTGCCCTTGCCCTTCTCGCCCTTCGAGCCCTTGCCTTTCTTACCCTTGTCACCCTTCGAGCCTTTGCCGCCCTTGTGTTCCTCGACGTGCGCCTCCGGCGACGGGCTCCGGGCGCGAGGCGGTCGGCGAGAGCGTCGGCCTGACGACCCGTCGTCGCCCTCCGAGTCTTCCTCCGCCCTGGCGCGCCGCGCCGAGCAGGACCTTTCGTCGTGCTCAACCTCGGCCCGCGCCTTCGCGCCGACCTCTGGCGCGGCGCGCTTTTCGTCCGAACTGTACTCCGAATCCGAGTCTGAGTCTCTGGCGCTTGCATCCCGTGCGCTTGCAGCTGGCGGCGGGATGCTGACCATCAGTCTCCGCTGCGCCGCCGCCTGCCAGTACGTCGCTGCCAGCGGGTAAGTCTTGAGCAGGTCCATCACCAGTGTCCAGCGCTTGTACTTCAAGCCGTCCTGGTGCACCACGTTGTTCCAGCGGTACGCTAACTCCTCGGCGCTGTCCTTGCCGGGCACCAGTGCCCCAGGGTACGCCACCCTGAGAAAGTTAGACACCCATAGGCTCCACTCCGAGTTCGGCAGCTGGTCCACCTCCAGCTGCGTGAAGACCATGAAATGGTCAGCCGTCTTCAGCGCCGCGTGCTCCGACGGGTAGGATTCGATACTCTCCCCGTCACCCCCCAGGTGGCGCCGGGTGAAGCACACTGGGCCGCCACCGTCTCCGCACCCCGTGCGTTTCGGGGGCGTCGCCCTTCGCTCGACCCTCGCTGGCTCCGCCGGCTCCGCTGGCTCCGCCGGCAAGCGCCGCCGCTCTTCCCCGCGCCGCGGGGGTTCTTCTCCTTTACCGCGGCTGCGGCTCCGCGTGGTCTGAGCCGTCGGCTCCTCCCCGCGCCGCGGGGCCTCTTTGCCTCGGCGGCCGCTGCGATGCCCCGCGTCGGAGCCGGCACCACTCGCGCCGCGATCCATCGCGTCCGCACGGCCTCCGGCCGCGCCGCGCGCCGGCAATGCACTATCCGCTTGAGCACAAACGGCGGCGCTAGCAACGGAGACGGAAGACGTTGAAATCCCAAGTTGAGTGCCCGCACTCGTGCCAGCACGCAGACCAGCATCAACAAACAGGGTGCGATTTATTTTCTCCGTGTGGACAAATTTACGCAATCGCCCTGGACCCGGGCCAGCAAGGCCGACTGGCGGACGCCGATTTTGACCTGAGGTTTCCCCCGGGGGCCGTTTAACTGTCTGACTCCTCCGGATTGCCTGGGCACTTTCCTCATGGACCCTCGCACGGTTTTGTTCCATGAACTCCCGGACCCGTTCGCTCAATCCCCCTTTTGTGAGCCCGTCCGAAATCATCCACCTGCTCGGGAGCCACCTGAGCCCCGCCTTTTCTTCGTCCCGTTGTGGCCCGCACGAGGCCAGAGATTTTAGCGCAGCGAGCCACACAGCATCGTGTCGATCGTCGGGGATGTTCCCTTCGACCTTCACGTGGTCGTACAGACTACGACAGTCGGTGAATAGCGTGAGAGGCATTTCATCCTCACCGTACTCCACGACAGGAGTACCGCTCCAACCGTAGGTTGCCTCACACAGCAACGCCCGCATGTAGTAGGCCATCCCGTGGCCCTCTAGGCGCGCCGCCGTCTCCGCCGAGAACGTCGACGTCACCACCCGATGACTGGCTCGGCTTCGCCAGTCCAGGATTGATATCGGCAGCTCGTCCTGCTCCAAGCAGTCGAGGTCGATGGCAGCCACCACCGCGCCGGCTTGGGACCTCACCTTATGGCGATCGAACCGTTTGAGGTCCTCGTCTCCCTCAATGAGCTCGCTCACATTCCCATACAGGGACGAGTCGTGCCAACAGCCAACGCCCATCCTCCCTTTAATGGGAGCGATCCGAAGCCGAGCGCCTCCGCTGGCTTTCACGTCTCGAATACACTTGTTGAGTTCTCTCGCGTCGGACCAGGTGGGCGCCTTTTGCAATTTCTGAAACCGGTTTGTCTCGTAGGCTTTGTCGAGACGGTACTGGCTTGCCAGCCAGTGGAGCGACCCCGTCGCTGACTGAAACTCAGCCTTCGCGAGGGGGCTCACTGGGTCCTCACCTTTTGCCTGACGGTCGACCTTCACCTCCTCAAGTCTCCCTACGACAAACTCTGGCATTCCCACTTCGACGCATGACCCGTCCACTCTGATCCGACGACCGGTGTACACATCTCCCTCGGCCTGCTGCGCGACCACCGTCCAAGACCCGAAAGGAAAACGTTCGCGCAGCCTCGCCTCCTTGGCACGCAGCTCGGCGCTGCCGTCGTGGGCTAACATGCAATCGTCCACGTGCACAATGAGCATACCTGCGAGACGATCGCCGCTATAGTAACAGAAGAAAGCTACGTCGAGCTGCAATTGTTTCCACCCCATTTCCTCTACCATGGCCTTGCGGAACGTATTGAACCACGCTCGCGGCGCGTCGGGCAACCCGTATATGCCCTTTTCTATCTTCAGCAGCTGTCCGGGTTCCAACCCCGGCAATCCGCCCCGGGGCTGGCGCATGTACAACGGTTCCTGCCCTTGGCGCGGTTCCCCTTGCAGGAACGCGCTGGAAACGTCACCGATGGCCAACTGAGATAGCCACCCCAAGTTCGCCGATAGCTGCAGGAAGGCGTGGAACCCAGATCGCTGCACCGTGGGAGCGTCCGTCTTGACTGTTCCGAGCTTCGCGTCGGGATCGTGCTGGCCCTGCACGCACAACCGTGCTTTAGCCTTGAGCGGCAAATCATTTTCGGGCGTCCTTAGGGCGGCATTTTTGTCTTTGAGCTTCATGTCGCTCCCGAGGATCCGACTCCGGTCCACTGTCCGCAACACTTCCTGTGAGGCCTCTGGCTCCAGCACCGACACGCACTTGTAGCGGAGCCAAGAATCCCACTCCTTCTCCACAGCGGCCTGGAACGCCTCATGATCCTTAGGCGCTATTTCGTCCCACTTAAGCTCGCGATCTTGAGTCTTTCGGTCCAGCAGTGCGGACCCCGTCCCGCGGTGATACGCCGTCATCACCTGGTGAGCCTGGTAACTGGCCCCACTCGGGGCCTCGCCCGTCCGCCGCACCGCGGCGGGTCCTTCGACTGTCGCGAGCGTCGGCTCTCGCTGGCGCTTTTTCTCTTCTTCGAACACCACGAGCATGCGATCTGCTGCCGGCCGCAATAGCTCCCTCGGGTTCGTCAGCTGGGCCCACCGGACCCGATGCTCTGTGCAGCGCCACTCGCCGCCGTGTTTCTCGCAAGTCGTCCTGAGCGGCCATTTCTCGAGCGGGAATCGCGCGTCCAGCGTAACTCTGGCCCAGGCCTCACCGAGGCTCCTCACCGGGCAGCCCCGATCACTCACATGCCAGCCTGGCATGGTGATGAAGCGTTCCAGTTCGCGCGGCACGCCCCGAGGCAGTCCGCTGCCTTGGGCCTCGTCTCGGGCCTCCTCCCTGGGGGTGCCCCCGGGCGCAGGAGGGTCTACCTCGACCACTCCCCCGTCCCCAGGGCCTTCCCGCTCCTGCTCGGAGGCTTCCCCCTGAACGAGTCCGTCCGCGGCCGCTAATTCATCCGGTCCGGCATTCAGGCCAGTGAGGTCTTCAAACTCTTCGCGGCTCATAGCCTGTCGAATCTCGTCCAGAGACCGGGCGAGGTCGGCATCCTCCGCCAGGTGTTGCTCCTCTGGGCTCAGAGGCCTCAAGTGTTCTGGCGCAGCCAGAAACGGTTTGCCGCCGTACTGAACCCAAACGTTGTCGTTGCGCCTCCCGAACACCAGAGCAGGTCCGCACCACTCCGGCTCGTTGACCCGGCGTCCACGCTCCGTGCGGTAAGGCCGGAAAAAGAACACGCGTTCGCCTTCCTTCCACTCCGCCGGAGTGCCGCGACTCCTCGCGGCCACGGCCCTCCGCACGAGCTCTTGACTGCGCGTCTTGATGAGCGACTGCTGACAGTGCTCACGTATCTTGAGTCGCCGTGCCAGCGGATCGCCCTCTTCGGCCACACATGGGTGATAGCTCACCGCTTTGCCCTCGTGCCAGCACTCGCCGACAAGCTTCATCTTCTGCCCGAAGAGAAGCAGTGATGGGCTGTAGCCGCACTGCCCAGGGAAATGGTTGAGGGCTGACGCAGTTTCCCACGCGAGAGCTTGCATCTCATCGATCCCAAAATACGCTCCGTGCCGGATGCTTTTCTTCATCACGTTCTTTGCCTCCTGGATCTTCCGCTCGACCTTGCCTTTCTGCCAGGGCGCGTACGCCGCGGTAGGGTCGTACGCGGTGCCGCTCCTCGAGAGGGCGTCCACGAAGCTTCCACTGACGAGCCCCCGCTCGTTGTCTGTCACGAACTGATCTGGTGGCCCCGCCCAGCAGAGCCACAAACGCTCGTACTGCCCCCACAGTTCTTCGCTGCTGTGCGCATTGATCAGCCCGATCGTGCAGTACCCCGTCGCCACGTCCTGCACCAACAGGAACCACCAACCTGTTCCGCACTGGTCGGGAATCTTGAACAGGTCTGCTTGCACGACCTCGTTGAAGGACAAGTCGTCCTCTCGAAGTCGCGCGGGCCGCGGGGGCCTCGCTCGCGGGCGTTCCGCACAGCTGGAGCACCGGAGTGCTTTGGCTCCCGCGACCGCCGCGACCGCCACCTCGGAGCCGCCGGCCTTGGCGACTAACCTAGCCAAATCTTCGGGGCTCGCGTGCCCCGTGTTGAGGTGGAGTCGACGCAGGTTCCGACGTAGCTCCGGCGTCATCCGCTGGGCCAGCGACTTGCCCATCGGAGTGTCTGGAAACTTAAACGTAATCCCCTGAGGGATCGCATTCCCGCTGTCGGTCTCTCCGAGCCCTGTGGGGTAAGATGCTGGTCCTGGTTCGAGTTTCGTCGCGCGCCCCTCGTGCACGCTGCGACCCTGACCTGAAGGCCGCGTTCCCGGGAGCCGTCCGCGCCACCCGATCCTCTCAGGCTCCACGCGCGTCAGATGGCGCTTGAGCCCTCGAAGCACACCGAGCGCTAAAGAGTGTCGCCCAGTGCTTGATGTGGCCTTGTCGTTGACCCCCGAGCGACGCTCGTGCACCACGGAACACTCTCGCCGCAGCACCGCTGCGATCTCAGGACAGTTCGTCGCCCACCACGCTGGCTGACCCGTGACTCCTCTCACACACAAGCCGCCCTTGACTACCTCAACCGAAGGGAGGGCCTCCACCGCGTGGATGGCTGACTCATTCCTCACCAGGGCGCAACCGCCATTTTCCGCCTGCACCTCGAACGCCTTCCGGGTAAACTCCATCAGCGACCGCTGCCGTCGTCGCTCGGCTCGTTGTCGCTGCTGATCGGCATTGCTCTGGTGAGTACCGCGTTGGGCGCCGCCGACTGAAGAGCCAGGGAGCTCCACCACAACCAACCTCGGTCGCACATCGCTCAACATTCCCAAGGCCTCCGCCTGCTCGGACTCCTGTGCGAGGTCGGCTCCGCATTTCGCGTCCCAAGGACGGAGACACCACCAACCATTCTTGGATCCGATGCGACTGACGTCACTGCCGCCTCCGAAGAACTCGACCACGTCCACGCGGTCCGTACCCCAACGGTGACGGGCCCACTGCCCGCCGCCAGCTTCCTCGAGCCAGGCCCCGAGGGTGGCTACCCCAAGCAACCATGCCGAGGCGATGCCCAGGCATGCCTTGCGCACTGCCGTCGCCGTGGGACCCTTCAAACGTCGGTTTCGGGCGCTGCCGCGCCCTTGCTTCCCGCCGCCGGCAGCCTGCGTGCTCGCATGGCTGCCAGCACCGGGCGCGTCCCCCGCGCGGCCGCTGAACCGCTCGACGGCTCGGCAGGCCCAGTGCCGGAGTCCACCTCCATACTCTCTTCCGTCTTCACTCCGGTTGACTCCCTCTTCTGGGCACGACTCATCTTGCTCGAGCCCTCCAGTGCCTCCGTTGGGGTCCATTCGGCCTCCGCTTGGCCTTCGCTCACGAACAGCCTGACGTCTCGGATGAGCTCTTCCCGTCTTTTGTCGGCGCCGTTCGACCGTGTCAGCGGTATCTGCCGCGCCGCGGCCTCCTCCTGCAGCTGCGCCAACTTCATATTGGTGAGGCCCGTCGGTAAGGTTGTTCGAGGGTCGTCTTTCTCCACTTCCGACGCTTGGATCTCGTCCTTCTTTTCTCGAAGCACGAGCCTCAACTGACCAACGGTCTCTGCCTCCGCGCGGGCCCTCTGCCAGCCGAGTCGCTGCATGGCCAGCGTCACCAGCTCTGCCTTCCGCATCTCCCAGATGCTTCGAGGGGTGTCCTCCCTCTGGCGAAGGGTGAAGACCTCCCGCTCCAGGTAATCCACCAACAACTCCTGACACCAGGCCCTCCATGCCATGAGTACCAACCGAGTTGCCACACTCGCCCTCGCAGCTCCGCTGCGACACTGCACGACAGTCGGGCGCCATGGCGGCATCTGCCCGCGCGCGCGTCCCAGGGCCACCGAAGATGGCGCTTGCTCGTGCTCGCCGTACGGGTCCTAAACCGACAGGGGCTGCGGTCGACTCGATCGCTGCCGCTTCGTCGTCGTCGTCGTCGTGGTCGTCGTCGTCTGGCCGGCCGTCCGTGTAAAGCGCACGGCGCACGGCCTCGTATGGGGATCCGCGGACGCGCCCATACAGCGCGATCTCAGCCCCGGCCCGGCAGCGGCTCACGGCTTCCTGTCCGCCCGCTCCTGGCCCCCCAGGTCCGTAACTGACAGCAGCCATGGCCAGGTGCCCCGACGGCAGCTCCCTGAGCTTGTGCCTGGCCTTGCTGAGGGCACCGAGTGTGATCTCGGCCTCCTTCATGTGGATATGGGCCTCCAGGGCCTTCAGGGCTCCGCCCGAGATCAATGGCGGAACGTCCTCTTCCACCAAGCTGATCCTAATCACGGCCCCCTTGCCGTCCCATTCCATGGGCAACAGCAACGCTTGGGAGCTGTAGATCGTCTTCCCCGGTCCGAACCGGTAAGGTTCGCGCTCGGTGACTGTCTCGAGCTCGATGCCCCAGTTCTTCCTAACGTAGATGGCCAAGCGCCGGTACCACCGGAGCCCCGCCACGGACTTAGCACACGCCGTGTCCACAACGATCAGCCACACAGCGTCGCCCGTTTCTGCGACTAGTACGGACATCGGATGTCCCGCGGCGGCTTGGAGGTTGGAAGAAGGAGGGGAGAGACATAGGGGAAAGGCCTCCTCTTCCTCCTCGCTCCTGAAGCGCGTTATCTTCACGCCATTGTCGACTTCGCCCGGGCAGTCTCCTTCGCACCGGCATTCAACTTCGCACCGCAACTCCTGCGCACCGGCCGCACCTCCATTCACATTCGCACCGGCATTCCCCTTCGCACCGGCATTCCCTTTTCCGTCTTTGTTGGCGCCGCCGACCTCGATGGATGAGCCTCCTGTTCCTCCGAGGTGAAAGGAGGGAGGGAGAAGAAGTGAGAGAGGTTTTTGAGACTCAAGCACGACACCATCCAGGTGCGCCGGCTCCGCCGGTTCTTTCTCCCGCTCCGCGGGCTCTTCAGCGCGGGCCACGACCCACGTGCCCTTGCCTTCCGCACCGGCCGCCTTACCAGCCGTGCTAGCCTTCCCCGGGGCCCGAGGGCACTCAGGGTCGTCCTTCCAGTGGCCCAGCCTGCCACATCGCTTACACGGGAGCGTCAGCTTGAGCTTCCGGATGCGCTCGGAATCGGCGCCTCGGCCTCCGCTGGCCCTGCCGCCAGGTCCACGGTAGAAGTCGCGCGCCTTCTCAGCCTCGGCGCGCGCCTTCTTAGCCTGCGTCATGAGCACCTCGTTTTCCGTGAGGTACGCCTGGAGCTCCTCAGGGACCAACTCGTTCTCCGCGATATTCGGGTCCACGCCAGCGTCGACCTCCGAGTCCGGCTCCTCGTCGTCGTCGTCCTCCTCGGCGGACGTGCTGGGGCCCTCGGCCTCGGCGCCTTCGCGTTCAGCCTCGGCTTCGGCGTTTTCGGTAGCGTGGACCTTTCGGGCGCCGCCCCTGCCTAAGGGTTTACCGAGCCTCCGGCGATTCCTGTTCAGGTACTCGCGGTTGGCTCCGTTGAACGGCGCCGCCGCCCGATTCCTCAGCATAGACACCCGAGGAATGCAAGCTTTAGCCGAGTCGCGAAGTTTCTCGTAGACCAGCTCGTTGCCAGCACCAGTGATGATCTGGCTCTCCTTGTCGCCGCCCACGCGCAGTTTCTTCAGGAAGTAGTGGGCTTTCAAGTGCTTGTTGAGCGGCTCCTCCATCGCCTCCTCGAGTTCGCGCACCTTGGCCTCGTACCGCGTCTCGAAGTCCATGATATCCTCGCCAGCGTTCCGGCTGACCTTCTCCACGAACTCATCTACGAGCGTGCCGACCTTCAGCGTCTCCTGTTGGTCGTACTTCTCATGGAGATAGCGCAACAGCACCCGGACGCCGTCCGGCCTAGCGAGGGTCTCAGGGTCGAGGTTCTCTGTTTTGGCTTCAGCGTCACCTTTGAGCCTCGAGAGAAGCCGCCCGCCCCGACGCTCGGGCAGGATGGCCGTGTTCAGCTCGAAGATCTTCACGCGCCGCTCGTACGTCCTTAGAGGCACGGCTTTCCCGTCCCATTCGGGCACGAACTTGTCGTCGCCGCGCTCCTGTCCAGAGGGCCCGCTGCCCTCGTACCTAACGGACCCGCAGTAGCCGCCAGACCCTGGTTGCCAACTGCTTTGCCCCCACTCCTCAGACCAGGGGCAATCCTGCCAGTACCAGCCTGTGCTGGTCCCTGGCGACGTCGGTCCTGGCTGACAGCCGCGCTGCCCCCACTCCTCAGACCAGGGGCGGCCTTGCCAAGACCAGCCCTCGTAAGCACGCTGCCCGCCACCTCCCAACCCTCCGGAGGTGTAGCGTGCGTCCCGGGCGTCGGGCTCTGGTCGAGTGCCCTGCCCACTCATCCAGCCCCAGCCGCCACTGCGGCTCTCGCTGCTTTCCCAGCGCTGCGGGGTCCACCAAGGGACGTCGTCCCCCCAAGGGGCGCCGCCCCACCAACTGGATCCCCACGATCCGTCCCCACCCGCTCCGCGGGCTTCGGAGGCGCCGCCTCCCGAAGGAGCTTCTGGCTCGGCGCGCCGCGCCGTTGCCCCTGGGGCTGCCGCCCAAGGGTCCCAGTCATCAAACCACTGCTGCGTGGTGTCGTCACCCGCCGCAGCCGCGGCGGCCGCTCCCTGCGCCGCAGGGGCCGCGCCCTGCTCCGCAGGGGCACCCATAGTAGCCTCAAACTCCATCCCACACCGTGGGCAACCACACCGAGGCTACACCCGTCGCGACCCCCGCGACGGACACCGTGCCGTGGATCGAACCCGCTCGACAGTAGCTCCGCTACCAATGTCGATGTGAAGATATGTTGTTCCTCACGCGCAGGCGGGCAAGCAGCGCCCGGTATGTTGCCCTAAACAGCCCCTCCGACCTCTCGTCGGGGCCGCCAGGGCCGAAACGGCTGCGGGAGAGCATAGCAGGAGTCAACATCAACAATAACAAAGGGCCTGAATCAGCATGCGCTGTGATCCACACTCGCTCTGCCTGTGGACCTTCAGGGCGAGACAAGCGAACGAAGACACTGACAAAAACGCAAAAACAGCTATACCGCCTCGAAATCCGTTCCTGTCACGTCTTGCAATCATAGTGTATCCAGTTAGATGCGGACTCAAATCTGCCTGATCAAGCCATGTTTCGTTGAGGAAGACGAGCGAGGGAGGAGAGGGAAATAAGGAAATACGTGCTTCTAGCTCTGTTGCCGAAAATATAAAACCTTGAATGTTCACATGAAAAAATGGTGAAGTGACACAAATCGAAAGACACGGAACTGAATTCACGCAGCTCCTCGTCTTGAGGCGAAAAGTAATGGCTCTGAATGCCAATAAAAAATTCATCCAAACGCGATTGCCTCGGACTGGAGGGGGGAAACAAAGAAGGAGCAGGAGCAGGAGGCAGGGAGGCAGAAGGAAGAGAAGAAGGGCGCAGCCGCGCTGTATGCAAGAAGCTCTCACACGAACGAGGTCCTCGACGACGTAACCGCCGTTTCAAACCCGAGGTCCGCTCACAAACGGCTTGGCCGTGGGCGGTGCGCAGTGCCAGTAAATCAAAAGCACTGGGTGAAGCAGACCCCCCAACTCCCTCAAGGAGTTTCAGGCGGGAGAAATCACCCTTAAAAAAACCCTCCAGGTCGCCAGCTCCCTGCTCAAACACCGCGACACCGTCAACCGTGACGGACCTCTCCTGCCACTCGATCTTCGCGTCCTTGCCGGAATGCGCCTTCACGGGCTCTGCGGCCTTACGGAGGGCCCAATCTCTGGCGAGATTCACCTTCGACTTCGCCGGCTTGATCGAAATGGCTTTCCCCTCGGAAGTGAAGCGCTGGCCCTTCGCAGCGTTGAGGAAGATCGAATCGTCGTGCGAGGTGGAGAACTCGAGGGAAAAAACCTTCGTTTCCTTCTGGTTCGTTTTCAGGCCTGTGAAAAAGTGACCAACATTCCCAGAAGGCACGTTGGAGAACGACGCTGCGAACCTCTCAAGCGAATCCTTCCGGTTCTGTAGAATCTCCGAATCGAAGCCGATGAACGAGACCTGGCGGTTGGAAATGTCCAAAGCGTTGAGTAAAGTAAGCTGGCGCTTGCCAGAGCCGCCTCCCGCAAAAACTTCAAGAGATGCCATGCGACCACGAAGCTCAGCCATTTCGTCCCGGAGAGGGTCGACTGCCTCTGAGATCGACAGCTTGGTCTCGGCAGAGATCTGTGTGTGCAACGCCTGTACAGAAGTGGTCATATGCTGATTCATGACACGAAGCATGCCGTAGATTGCCTTCTCTCCTGGCGAACTGTCCTCTGGCATGACTGGAAGCGCAAGTGCCGGCGGGGGGACGAAACCCACACCCGCACCCGGGGGGGCAAAACCCGCGCCCGGCCCGGGACTGCCACCCAAGGGGCCGGTCCCAGGTGCACCACCAAGACTGCCACCCGGAGGGCCGGTCTTGGGAGCCGCATGCGCGCCACCCGCGGGGCCTTCGCATGCACTGGGACTGCCGCCCGCAAGGCCGGTCCCAGGAACGAAACTCGGCTCTGCGCTCCCTGCTCCGCTTCCCAAACCTGGGTAAGCAGGAGCGGGCTGGAACTGACCAGCCAAAAAGCCGCCGCCCGATTCGTCCATCTGAATTGCCGTCTCTGCGCGTGCTCTGCGTTCAGGACTGAGAGCGGCTCTGACAGCGGCCTGCCGTTCGCGGGGCGCTCGCATAGGGTCACCTTTGCCCTTGTCGAACGCAGGCTTCTGCACCCCACTAGAAGAACTTCCAGACATGGCTGACTGAGGGAATAAGTACAGTGAGAATAATAAAAAAACTGTGGTGGTAGACCGCCCCGGCGACAGGCGAAGATAGACTGCTCCATATGAACAGTTTGGCTTGGTAGCTTCAGCTCGTGCCACACATAATCTAAGAAATACTATTCATGCGTTTGTCTTCAACCTTTCCTAAATAAATATCTGTCCAGCGCAACAGGAATTTGATCCAAAATCGCGTAACTATTTTTGCTGGGTTTTCCGGCCGCAGTGTGGGGTCTCAGACTTCAGACAAAATGGCATCTGCTGCAAGTGCTAAGGTTATACACGAAAATACGCGACCAATATGGCTTAGCTCGCCCATTTGAGTCAATTGAGAAGATTACTTTAATTTTTGCTGTTCGAAATCAGCCATTTTGATTGGATGAGCGGCTGTCTTCATGATCTCGTCGCCCGCTCCATCAATTTATCCCATTTGCTTGAATCATTATTTGACATGGGAAGTGTAAATTGCTTGGCATTTCCCATCTTGGTCCGATTCCGGAGGCGACAAAAAATCATCATGGATGTTCTGCATTGTATGTATCTCAAAATTCGAATCGACCATTACAATGTGTGCCGATCCTGTGGTGGGTTGGGCTACTCCTGTTGGCTGGTGGCGTCGCGGCTCACCACCGAAGTCTAGCATGCCAAAGTTTGCAGGCAGATGCGTATCATTTTGAGGTAATTGTTGTGATTGTTATTGTCGGTGCGATGGGGTTCGATGCGCGATGAGGTCTCGCATGGTATGTGAAAGTTCAATCGAACTTTTAGCAGTTTGGACATAGCGACACACACGCCCACGAAAACCGACCCGGACCCAATGCCGCAGTCCAACGCATAATGCGTTCTTGCATTTCTCTAGTGAGGTATCCTCTTCTCGAAACTGATGGGGAAAAAAACAAAGACTTCGCAGAGCCTCGCAAAGTGCTAAAAATGTATCCTGGATGCGGTTGGAATCAGCGCCCCAGCCGGCAATATCAAATCATGACCATTTAGCGAATGATTTGGCCTAGCCGATCCAGAATTGGGTGCGTTCCATCATCACCTGATGCAGCCCAGATGATGGAGAGCAATGCGAAAAACCATTATTGTTGTCGACGCGCATCAACCATTACATCATTTGTGCTCGTCCCTGGTAATAGTCGGTCCAAGAACCGCAGTAGAACATTTACAAACGGTAAGGCTTCGCGGTGAAGCAGAAGGTGCGAGAACAATGGAAATCCCAAATGGGCACCCATTTGTGGAAAAGGTTTGCTGTCGTAGGTCGTCTGCATTTTCATCCAAGTCACTCATTTCGCCAATAACACATGCGAGAATTCTGTGATGTCCTTGTCCCAACGCAGCGGGAGTGGCGGAAAGATGAGGTGGCAATCCAATTGTGGTATCCCCATGTTGGTTTGCTATACTGGGTGGGCTTTTTGGGTTCCATAATTTGACCACCCAAAGTGCTACTGCCGTGCGTCATCGTCGGGGGGCAGCGCCATTGCCAAGGAGCTGGCGGGGAAGGGCGCAACCGTCGTCAAGGACTTGAGGGGCAAAAACATTATCTCCAATTGGAATAGGTGGATGTAGGTGGCTGCGGAAGAAAAGGAAAGGCGGGCGGAGACGCACCGTAGGCGATACGATTGTGTCGACGACCGTCTCGTAGAACAACGTAGTCCTGGACGGGGCAGGCAGGGGCACTTGCAAAGCCCGTCGGTCTTGAAATGCCAAGTTTCATGAAGATGTTACCGTTTGTTCTCAGGAACAAGGTGGGCTTAGATTGTTGGCTTCCCCAATGCGGATGCCACGAACAAGAGACACCCCATACCTCGTAATTTACATAGCCGGCACTGCCAATACATAACCAACCGTGGTGTTGTCGCACTCGCACTTGCAAGCGCCCATTGTAAGTACTACTATTGCAATATGGGCTGTAGTCGGTGTAGGTGGTGCTGGAGGTCGTGCTGCAAATGCCGATGCCGCTGTAGAGCCCGTCCCAGGAATAGCTCCATCAATTGGAAACCCTGATCTTTCCAAATTTCTCAGCATTGCCACAGCCCGCCCCCGTGTGATCGGCGGTCCTGAATTATTCGGTGTTCGATGCTGCGGGAAATAGAACATCAATGTTGTCGGAAGTGGCGTCGGAATAGGGTATTGATCGTGCCCATTGCTCAGTGTAATGCGTATATGTCTATCTTCCCAAACACACGCACGTAATTGCATGCATGATCAGCCGTGTAAGACCTCGAAACATATGCGTATTTACATGTGTCCCTGCCCAAGGGACCCAATCGAACGGGGGACTCGAATCCTGGTGGTCCGTGGTGGGGAAGCGGATGTACACCCACGATGCGATATAGCATTTCCATTTTTGTGGTATGCGCTAGGCCCGCAAACTCTTGTAAAGCAGGCCGCCCGTGGGCTCGAATGTGGTCCAACAAGTTGTGCCTTTGCCGATCCGCCGCCATCCGCAAGCCGTAATTGCCCCCAAACCGCAGGCAATCGAGAAACACCAACGCCCTAACTAAACTTCCGGCCATTATGCCAAATTGCTGAACGAATGGCCCAAGTTTAATTACCTAAACCCATCCGGAAAGCTATGCATATGGCGTCTTTTACGGCTCTAAAGAAACCGAGCACCAACGTCAGGGGAATTTCATCCGCGGATTCTTTCCGCCGATTGGTCGCTAAAATTTTGGCCAAGCAATACCAAGCAGCTCTCAGAGCAGCAATTTCACCATTGAATTTCGGATTATGCAAAACAAGTGGCACAAATGCAGCGGTGCATTTTTGAGATACATGTCAGGTGCGCATCCCCAGAAAATCTTATGAGCATTGATGGGGTGGGAGCATTTGATCACGTCAGCAGGGCAAACATTTTCGAGCAGCTCATGGCCTAGCCAGAACTACATGCAATATTGCGATTGGTCAGACAATTGTATGGCCATATCCCATATTGAAATGCAATTCTTCCCTGGGGCCGTGCAATATCTGCGTTTTGAGCCGCCGCCAATGGGTGGGCAAGCGTGGGAGGCGTGGTGCGTGGGATGTGGTTCAATTTGGGCACCGCACAGAAAACCAGTAGCAACCACGCGGCCTGCAACGAAGAAAGCTTTGGGAAATTAGTGAAACAGCTTCAACCTTGCATCAAACAGTGCAAGCCCAAATTTACTCACGCAGTCGGTGGTCCGGAACGGCGATCCCAATACTTTCATTTTTCTTTCCGGCAACTGTTTATCCGATAGTCAGCGTCGAACGCACGGGGAAATCTTCAGGGCATGGTGCCAGCATCGTGCCCCATATAACAAGTTTGTTAACGCTTATACGGAACATGTCCCATAATATTGTTATATATACCAAGAGTCAGCACAACAATCGGACTCGCAGACAATGTAAATGTCTTACGAACATTTGCAAACATATTTGGGGGCGACACAGGTTTCAATAACAGAACACAGGTTTCAACAACCCAGCAGGGGTTTCAATAACGGTCAACACTGGTTTCAATAACAACTGACACTGGTTTCAATAACAACTAACATTGGTTTCAACATCAAGCACCACTAGTTTCAATAACAGCTACCACTGGTTTCAATAACAACCAGACATTGGTTTCAATAACAATCGGCACAGGAGGGTGAGGAAGAGGAGGACAGGAAGGAAAAGCAGCCATTCAAATTATAGAACCTCCAAGTCCGCTACCGGACAAGAATGCTCACGCAGACTACGTGCCAAATCACCTCCGGAACTCAGTACACACCTTGTCACCGCTGTTTGAGGAGCAATCCACCTTCGTTGCAATCAAACCCACGCCGCGGCGAATATGTGGATGTAGTTCTGCGGTGCGCGTGCGTGCGAGGCCAGGTGCTACATACAACAATTGGTTGCCCCCCCCCAATCTACCATAAACTTGCCCATAAGCATTACAACGTGGCTACTGGGCTGCGTATGTCAGAGGCAGCCCAGTAGCCACGTTGATCTTAGCTATCACGATACCGAGCCGCATATTGCAAGACGGTGCTTCGACAGACGTTTCAATAAGAATGCTACCTGCCTCCACCCCAATGCTTCGTCCTTCACCTTCTTTCCGTAGCTGTTTGGGCCCGCGAAGGTGAACTTTCAATCTCCGAAAGCTTTTTCCATTTCCCTTAGGTGTGCTCACCGCCGTGTGCGTACAATCCACGCGAAAGCATTGTATCTTTTGTTCATTACGTATGCCGCTGCCCCAGACCGGGACGCAATGAAACCCTTCCTACGGGCCAACCCTGGAATTACGGACGGGGCGCACAAGGAGGTCTTCACGAAGGGTATTGATATTGAAAAGAAGACCAGATACCTAACCGAGAAACCTTGGATTGCAGAGGAAGAGTACAATGCCATGCGCGAGTGGCAGTAGTAGTAGTAATAGTAGTAGTAGTAGTAGTAGTAGTAGTAGTAGTAGTAGTAGTAGTAGTAGTAGTAGTACAAGTAGAAGTAGAAGTAGTAGTAGCAGTCGTAGTAGTAGTAGTAGTAGTAGTAGTAGTAGTAGTAGTAGTAGTAGTAGTAGTAATAGTAGTAGTAGTAGTAGTTAGTGGCAGTAACATGAGTAGTAGGAGCAAAAAGCAGTAGTAGTAGTAGTAGTAGTAGTAGTAGTAGTAGTAGTAGTAGTAGTAGTAGTAGTAGTAGTAGTAGTAGTAGTAGTAGTAGTAAGTAGTAGTAGTAGTAGTAGTAGTAGTAGTAGTAGTAGTAGTAGTAGTAGTAGTAGTAGTAGTAGTAGTAGTAGTAGTAGTAGTAGTAGTATAGGAAGGAGGATGAGGAGAAGCGTTGTAACGAATAATGGAACAGAAGGTGGGCTGATGCTGATGATGATGCTGCTGATGAGGATGTTGATGATTATGCTGCTGCTGCTGACGATGATGACGAGGAGGAGGAGGAGGAACATCAGGAAGACAGGGAAGACAACGCCCGTCTGGCTATCCATACACACGTGGGGAACGAGAGCATAGCAGCCAGACAACAACCGACGACGCGAACCAGGACTGGAGGGGTGGGATGGGGGATAATAAGACAGAGGAGGAGGAGGAGGAGGAGGAGGAGGAGGAGGAGGAGGAGGAGGAGGAGGAGGAGGAGGAGGGGGAGGACGAGGAGGGGGAGGAGAAGGAAAGGAGGAAGAGGACGAGGAGGGGAGGAGAAGGAGAGGAGGAGGAGGAGGAGAGGAGGAGGAGGAGGAGGAGGAGAAGGAGTAGGGAGAAGGCGGGGACGAGGGGGAGAGGAAGAGGGAATCGAGAAGGAGGGCAGACGAGGGAGGACGCCCGACAGTAAACGAGCGGACCCCTGCCGACTGTAAGGCGAGCGCAGCGGCACCGACTTTTCCTGCACTGTGAGTCTTGGCCAAGCAGCGCTCCCGCGCTTGCCGGAGAGGGAAGGGGGGTTCGACAGGGGCGACTGGCCCGGGGGGGGGAGAATGACTGGGAATCAGACACATCGCCGACAGAACAGGTCCCTGGCGGCCGTTCAGGACGAACCAGGCACCCCTGGAATGCCCTCGCCGAGGCGCAGCCTCTGAAAGGCATGCGGCGAAGCGCAGCCGCTGGAATGCATCCCGAGGCCGGAGAAGCTGCCGGGACCGACGAAAACGCCCGAAAACCTCGAGCCCTGAGCCCCGAAGACCCCTCCCTGGTTGGGTGTTGTTAGAAGTGCCCCTGGCCCCTGGCCCAAGGTGCCCCCAGGATTTCCAAGGGGCCCCGCGGCCCCCAGAGCACCCCTCAAGAGGCCCAGGGGGTCCCAGGGGCTCCAACATGGAGCGAAAAGCTGGGGGGCACCTTGGGTCAGGGGCACCTTCAGCAACCCCCGACCTGGGCCAGCCCCCTGCCCCCACTGCTGCTGACCCCGTTGAGGCCACCGCGCGCGGCTGCCGCGTGTGCAGGCGTGCCCCGAGCTCTCGGTCTGCGTGGCGGGCACCCGTGCCCATCCCCGCCCTGCGCCGGCCCGCTCCTGATCGCGCCCCAGGTATCCCCAGCGGCGCCCTTCCAGTGGAGTCTAGATGGAGGTCGTGAGGGCTCTTCCCCGCCTCCTCCTCCTCCTCCTCCTCCTGCTCCTTTTTCTTCTGCTTCTTTTTCTTCTTCTTCTCCTCCTCCTCCTCCTCCTCCTCCTCAACCTCCTCCTCCTCCTCCTCCTCCTCCTCTCCTCATGGTCCTCCTCGTCCTCCTCCTCCCCTCCTCCTCCTCCTCCTCCTCCTCCTCCTCCTCCTCCCCCTCCTCTCCTCCTCCTCCTCCTCCTCCTCCTCTCCTGTTCCTTTTCCTCCTCCTCCTCTCCTCTTCATATTCTTCTTCTCCTCCTCCTCCTCCTCCTCCACCACCTCCTCCTCCTCGTCTCCTCCTCCTCTTCCCCCTCTCTCCTCCTCCTCCTCCTCCTCCTCCTCCTCCTCCTCCTTGTTCTTCCTCTTCTTCTCCTCCTCCTTCTCCTCCTCCTCCTCCTCATCCTGGTCCTCCTCCTCCTCGTCCTCCTCCACCACCTCCTCCTTCTCCTCCTCCCTCCTCCCTCCTCCTCCTCCTCCTCCCCCCCTCCTCCTCCTCTCCTCTTCCTCCTTCTCCTCCTCCATCTCCTCCTCTCCCTCCTCCTCTTCCTCCTCTTCCTCCTCCTCCTCTCCTCCTCCTCCTCTCTCCTCCTCTCTCCTCCTCCTCCATCCTCCCTCCTCCTCCTCCTCCTCCTCCTCCTCTCCTCGTCTTCCTCCTCCTCCTCCTCCTCCTCCTCCTCCTCCTCCTCCTCCTCGTCCCCCGCCTACACCGCCCGCCCGCCCTCCCGCCCTCCCTCCCTCCCTCCCTGCCTCCCTCCTCCTCCTTCTCCTCGTCGTCGTCGTCCTCCTCCTCGGCTCGGCTCGTGACGGCATTTGAATGCTGGTCCGAAAGAAAAAGACAAGACATATTGATAGAAGGACAGAGAGGAATACTTCCTCCTCATCCTCCTCCGTTGCTGCTGCCGCTGCTCCGACTCCCTCCTCCACCGCCTCCTCCTCCTCCTCTTCGTCGGCTCGGCTCGTGACGGCATGGGAGTGCCCACTGCTGGTCCGAGAGAAAAAACACAAGACATATATATATAGAGAGAGAGGGACAGGGAGGAATACTTCCTCCTCATCTTCCTCCGCTGCTGCCGCTGCCGCTGCTCCTGATCTTCCTCCTCATCCCCCTCCCTCCTCCACCGCCTCATCCTCCTACCTCCTCCTCCTCCTCCGGAGGTCTGGTCTGTTTCAGGTACGGCCCGCTGGATAGACGCCTCCCTCACCGCAGCATCCTCGGGCCCAGTGTCTGGCCCCGAGTCGCAGGCCACATCGACCAAGGCCTCGGCCAGCGACGGCGAAGCGTGCGCAACAGGAGCAGCACCACTCTGCACCGCCGCAGGCAAATCCTCCACCGTGGGCGTAGGCACCGAATGGGATGTCCTCAGGCCCTTCTGAGCCCCCAAGCTTGAGGAGGAGGAGGAGGAGGAGGAGGAGGAGGAGGAGGAGGAGGAGGAGGAGGAGGAGGAGGACCGTTCGCAGGCCCCAGACCCCCAGCTCACGGATCTCCCCCGACGCTCTTGCGCGCTTCCAGAGCTTGGCGCGTGACTTTTCCCGAGGCCCTTGACGTGATGTTGGAACTCCAATGCATCACATCGCCTGATGATTGCCGCAGGGACTCGTCTCTGGTCGCTCTGGAAGGTCTTTTGGGCCGTGCCAGACAAACAGCATCCTCACCTTTTCGGTCTCATGAGCTCTCGAAAGGGCCCAAGAGGTTCCTAAGATCGCCCCATGACGGCACCCGAGCTCCAAAGAAGGGCCCAAGAGGCCCCCACGCTTGCCTGGAGAGGAGCCCCAACACGGGAACTCGAAGGCGCCCCAGTGGCTCTTCCCCTCAAGATGGTCAACGCGAGCAGGTACCCAAGACATCCCCAAAACGCCCCATGAAGCCCCCATGAGGCATCCCAGAGGCTCCCAGGAGGCAATTGGAAGGCTTCCAAGAGGCCCCGAGATGCACACCAAGACGTGGAAGGTGGGACGGTCCGAAGCCCACGTCGTGTATGACTCGTGCAGCTTGTCTATCTCAAGCCACAGACGGAATGAAGAAGACAAGCCATGAGAGCAATCAGGCTGAGGACAGCGAAAGAATGGCTGGCCACCATCTCTTCTTTGATAGGCGGCAAAATGCCGATCAACGATACCCAGTGCAAGACACTCAAGGATATGGTGGGTATCAGGGTTGATATCGGATGTCGCCGCTACTACTGGCCTCTGTTAGCCTCAACCCAGCCTCACTTCGCCCTGATTGCCACCAGCGCTGGTCGCCGCCCCTAGCCGTTTGCACATACTAGCCCCAAACTTGCCTCAATGGCCCTGGTTGCCCTTTCGAACCCATGCCCCGCCCCACTAGCCCTGATTGCCACCATCGCTGATTGTCGCAGCATGCGCATATCAACCCCTGTGTGACCACAGTCGCCCCGGTTGTCGCCAACGCTGGCTGCTCCTGCTTAGCACTTACGCCCAGCCCACCAGCCCTGGCTGCTGCCGGCGCTGGCTGCCGCCACTGACGCCTGCAAGCCCATGCCTCACCAGCCTGAGTGCCGCCAGCGCCAGTTGTCGCCACTAGCTCCTTGTAACTCGTGCCTGGCCCCAGGACCACCAGACGCTCGCTGCGTGTCGCTACTAGCCACTGGTAACATCTGGAAAGGCTAACTCGCCCCGAGTGCCATCAAAGCTGGACGCCGCCACTTGTCCCCCACCCCTCTAGTGGCCCCAGCCTGGCCCCAATCGCCCTGGTTACTGCCAACGCTGGACGCCGCCGCCAGGCCCTGGCTTGCCTTCTGACTGCCTAGCCCCACTGGTTCCGATTTTTATCCATACTGATTCCCGCCCTTACCTCCTCCTCCTCCTCCTCCTCCTCCTCCTCCTCCTTAGCCCCCACACACACACCCTGCGTGGCCCCCAGCAGCACTGGTTGCCGCCGTCGCCAGGCCAGCCCCCTTCTGGTCCCTGCCTATTGCTTCCCTGGTTGCCAGCAACGCTGGCTTGGATAGCCAAGCCACGCTTGGCTGGAACCGCGAACATGGCGTAACAATGCGTCATCCTTACGGCAGGCAAGGGGCAAGTCCGCAGCAACGTTAACTGGTCAGCGTATCTCACATGCCCAGACAGCACTTCACCAGAGAAGCGGAAGCCTGGAAGCAAGCGGGACAACCGACACCATGGACCCCGATGGCGAGGGCAGCCGTCACTTCGCCAGCGATCAGAAGAAGCTCACTTCCACCTTCCCTCGCCCCTCTCCCGCTGCGGGCTCGCTGACAAGAAAGGCAGCACTGTATGCCACACGTGCCCGACCTCCACTGCAGTCAACTTCCAAACACCTTCGAGCATCCCTCTGACTTCACGCCCCAGTGTCGCGAGTGATGCCTCGAGGATCTGGATCCTGCCAAGTGGTCAACTGGCTGACTGGAGCACTTGATCCCTCCGAGCTTGCGCGGGGGTTCGAAGTAAGTCGCGCAACATCTGGCCGCCGCTTCGCTCGACGCCGCCGTGTGGAGGAGGAGCGTCCAGACCAGAAGGGGGAAGTACTTTTGGGCGAAGAACTGATGCCCTGCCTTCCTCCTCCTCCTTTTCTTCCCTCCCCCTGCTCCTCCTCCCCCTTTCTCCTCCTCCCTCTCCCCCCCTCCCCTCCCTCCTGGCCTCCTCGTCCCCCCCCGTCCACCGGTGGACCGCCTGCTCGAAGCTGGCCGCCCGACACTGCCGCCACTCCCCAGTCCTGAAACTCCTGGAGGAGGATGGTGAGGAGGGCGAATCCCAGAGATCCAGCGCATTGAAAAAATCAAAAAGGTTTTTCGCCGATTTCGGCCTTCAGAGGCCCTCGCCGGGCCTCGGGACCGTCAAAAAACCACTCAGGATGAAAAACGGTCCTGGGGAATGGGTCGAGACTTCTGGGGACCGCGTATTGAAAAAATCACGACATCGGATCTCTGGGATATGTCGCCGCGCCGTTTGCTCTCGACGCGCCTAAGTGGACGACGCCGACACCGCGGCAAACACACGGCAAACCCTGCCTCCCCCGCGCTCGAGCCTCTGTCCTGGTGGCCGCGGCGCCCTCCCCAAAACGTAAGGCCGCACGTCGGAACACGTAGCGCGGCGACATATGAGAAGGAGGATGGGGAATACTAAAAAGCCAGGCGTGCGAAGCAATATGAATCTCACCAGCCCTTTGAGGCGTAAGTGGTTTATGGCGTTCCCTCTTCCTCCTCCTCATCCTCCTCCTCATACTCCCACTCCCCCTTCTCTTCCTCCTCCTTTTCTTCTTACTATTCCCTCCCATTCCTCCTGCCTATCCTCCTCCTCCTCCTCCTCCTCCTCCTCCTCCTCCTCCTCCTCCTCCTCCTCCTCCTCCTCCTCCTCCCCCTCCCCCCTCCCCCTGGACCTAGATGGTGGGGGGCGGCGAGGTGTCAGAAGGTGGTTTTCGGCCCGAGACAGCTTCAAGATGGCCTCTGAGAGCCCAAGATGACCTCCAAGATGGCCCAAGATAGCGCCAGGTCGCTCAAGATGGCTTCCAACCTGACCCAAGAGACCCCAGGACGAATCCAAGACGGGCTCAAATGGGCTAGGGGCGCTCCCAAGAGGCCAGCCTCCTTCCAATACCGGCGGGACATCAATGATTTCAGTCCTCTCGCCCTTTCGCTTTCGATGGCTTCCCGAGGCCTCAAGATGGCTCCAAAAGGGCCCCAAGAGGGGCCTAAGATGGCCGCAGGACGGCCCCAAATATCGCTCCAGAGCGCCCCAAGAGCCAGGAGGGCCCCAGAAGGCGACTTTAGCTCCAGAGGGGGAGCCATAGTTAGGTCCCCCCCCCTTGTGTGATCAACGAACAAGGGTTTTCGAAGGATGTTGGCCTATCGGTGGCATATTCTGGAGGCCTTTGCCCCAAGAGGGCTCCGAGAGGGCCCCAGATGCTTTATTAAGACGGCCTTCAAGATGGCGCAAGATGGTCCAAGCTGGCTCAAGGTGGCCTCCAACATGCCTCCAACAGGCCCCATTGTGACCCAAAGATGGCTCCAGGTGGCCGAGGAGACTCCTAAGGACACCCCCTAGAGTGCCCAACACCTCAGGGAAATCAATGATTGTGGCTTTCTCACCCCGCTTCCGATGGGCCCCCGAGGCCTCAAGATGACTCCAAGAGGGCCCAAGAGGGCCCCAAGAGAGGCCCAAGATGGCCCCAAGTTGGCCCCAAGAGCGCCCAAGAGCACCCCAAGAGCGCTCCGCGAGGGCCCCAAGGGGCGAATTTGGGAGCTCCACAGGGGCGAGGCTAAATAAGGATCCCCTCTTTGACCGTATATCTTCAAAGTTGTTCCCAAGACAAGCGGTCCCCCAGAAGTCCCAAGAGGCCCCCCAGAGGCACCCAAGACACCCGAAGAGGCCGCCGAGACCGCCAAGAGACTCAAGAAGCCCCAAGGAGCCTCTGACCCTTCTGCTCGCCCTCCTCCTCCTCATCCGCTTTTTCCCTCCTCCTTATAGCTCCGCCCTCCTCCATCCTCCCCCTCTTGGGGCCCTTTGCTCTACAACATGCTCCTCCACATCATGATCAGGGCAACTCGCCTGGACATTGTTCTGGGGTGGGCTGGTGGGAAGACACGAAGTGTCTGGAATATGAAAGAGAAGGGGCATCAGCGCGAGCAAGAATCTGAGTAGGTTTAATAACGCTGAAACTAGTAGTCGTAGTAGTAGTCGTCGTAGTAGTAGAAGTAGTAGTAGTAGTAGTAGTAGTAGTAGTAGTAGTAGTAGTAGTAGTAGTAGTAGTAGTAGTAGTGGTCGTAGTAGTAGTCGTAG